AGGGACCGGAGAGCTTCACACGAAGCAGCGAACCTACCGAAGCGCTCGCGCTGCGACGATCTCAAAGCAGTGGGAGGCTAACGCTAGAATGAGAGCTCCATACAACTGAAAAGCGCAGGAAAATAAATTGGATAGAGATGGTAGTGGAAGAAGACGAAAACAGAAATAATGGTCATCAGCGCAGGACCTTAAAAGAAGGACGGCGGTAATCGAGTCCGAGTGACTGAATACTCATTTGTTGATGATGTTGTACGGTGGCTAGCGAGAGGTCGCGTAGAATGCACTCTGAAGGTCTTTGATGTGTGATTGTAGAGGAAGAAGTAGGGAAGTGAGCTAAACCTAACTTCGTAGTGGTCACCGCTGAGGGTAACGAGCCGTTCCTCTAAAACCTTGAGGACCGCATGGTTACTGAAGATGAAAATGAAATGGATGAAAGGAGAGAACAACAAGATGAGTGATCGAGGGGACTGATATGATTTCTGACAAAAGAGAGTGAATAAAAGGGTTATGTGTGGTTTAATAAGTGATTCCACTCCCTGTGTGAATGGCACGACAGCACGGAAAAAATAGCCCTACATACGTGGGTTACAACAAATAACATGCGTGTTACAACGAAGAACGTTTAAAATATTGTTCTACAAGGTAAAGGACTGAAACTAACACACAAATGACAGAAAGGTTAGGAAGACAGTTATCCCGGATCGCGATCTTAAGACCACCAAAAGGAATGGGTGAAATCACGGGCACACAGCCGAAACTACGACCAAGTGGCGAGCGAGCAAATCGATATGAACTGACAGCAAAGAACATGAGAGTCGAGTGAAGTGCACCGGATTAAACAACGTAGAAAAACGTTTATGCGTGGCCATCACATCGATAATGCTCTCAACTCTTTGTGTGAATCTAATCTTGACAGAAGACATGCCAGTTTTGAAACGGAAAACTTGGGAACAAACCAATATCGCTAGGTTACCCAAATCCAGTCTGTGAGGGATCATCGACGTTCTACGCTATGTATAAAACGCTTTGTCTCACGGTGAAAAAAGGCCAATCGACTGAAGACAGAGGGTGGGGTTCAAAGGATTTCCTATGCAAAACTGATACTGAGCTCAAGACGATGAAGTTTTTTTCTCGAAGGAAGGAGGGTCGGGAGTCCGTGAACCGAATTCGTGGTGCAAAAACGGGATATGCATTACGGTAATCCCAATTCTGCACAAGTGATCCTTCGAAGGTTCCCTTCCCTCAGGCCAATTCTCCTCCGAAGGTCGAAGATCAACGGATAGGTAGTTAGTGTAACAGTAGGTGTGCAATACATAGCAGGGGTCAAGAACACAGGGAGCTGAAACACAGTTCAAAGCAGAGGGGTCAAAAGGCGAAACACCTGAGGTATGTGACATTATGCAGCAATGAATCAGCAAACCCTTTGGAGCACTATTCCACTCGCAGAACATCAGAATGCTAAAAAAACATAGCGATACTAAAGTTCGCAAAATGGGGGGGGGGGGCTAATCCGTGCCTTGGTCACAGACATGATACTTTTTAGACGTCCGCGTAATTTTGCGTCCACTGGTTACGGCTGCATTCATATGAGGCGACACTGAAGAAAATGGCGAAACTGCGGATTGAAGAAACTATACGTATTGATTCGAAGAATCGCGGAATTGGGAGAAATGCAGAATCTGCAGAAACCGAAATGAC